CTATGCCAGGGGCAGGTATTTAACCTAAAACTTAAGACACTAGCACCCCAAATCAGAGTGCCTGGGTTCAAATCTCAGTTCTGGTTTTTGATTCAAGCTTTCTTTTGCTAAGACTTCCTGCTTCCTGGGAGGCAGCAGGTTATGGTCCAAGTAATTGGATTCCTGCCACCCAAGTGGGAAATCTGCCACTTCAAAACATTTATGGAGCAAACCAGCAGATGGAAGCTCTGCCTGCATGTCTAGTAAGAAAATGTGCTACATTTCTCAAAATAAACTATTTGCTTTTTAATGATACATTCTCCTCTTCTTAATGCCACTTCTTGAGTGGAAATCTAGAAAAGTTAACTCATTGAAAACACTAAGTCACTGTTCAAGTGAAATTAGGCATATTATATAATTTATTATTTTTTCATTGTGAAAACACCACTAAATCACTAATTCTAACTATATAATTAAAAAATTTTTTATAACCACCCACCAAAAAAGACCTTGCCACTATTTGTTTTTTACAATTATTTTATTTTAATGGTGCCATTATTGTAGCCAGAAGAAATATTTTTAGATAAAAGACTACATGTATCAGTTTTTATGTGGCATAACTCGAATCCATGAGAATACATTTCTGTATCATCCCTTCCCACTTACTGAGGTGATATAACTCTGCAAACTGATTTTTCTAGTCCACACCATTTCACCAGCCTGCAGAGAAAATATCTAGCTTAGCTAACCTTTTCTTCAGAAAAGTGTGATAATACATTTTCTAGTTTACAAACGTATTCCAAAGAAATCCAGGACACAGGAAGAGCTCCATTTCTCCACTCTGTGTAGCAAGGGAAAATCTAGGTTTCAGAGGAACACCCATGGAGAAGTGACAGGCCAGGGATAGAGAAAAGAGACAAAGAAAGCTAGCAACTGTTATAGAAAGAACGAAAGGAAGTAGCTAGGACAGTGGGAAAGTCATGGGGATGGCCAGGAAACTCATGGGAGCAATAAATACTCATTAGTTAAGTTTGCATGTGGTACATTATGATTTAAAGCATATACAGCATATACAGGGAGTTCATAGAGTACTGGGATGTTGGGAGGAGGGGTGGAGCAGGGGTAGAACAGGAGAGCCCGCAAGATACCACGGAAAGATTGGAGAGGTGGGAAGAAAAGCCAAAGACTGTGACGTGCCAATGGTGATGGGTTGAGGACGAGGAAAGGCCTACCTCATGTCCTTGGACTTAATATGCACAGATAACTCAGAAGGAGAAGAAAAATATTTCCTCTGTCCTCAAGCTTTCCTTTAAAAAGTTACTTCTTGGGCCCAGCGCAATGGTGCAGTGGTTAAGGTCCTCGCCTTGGCCACGTGGGGGACCCGGAAGAGGCTCCTGGCTTTGGATTGGCTCAGCTCCAATCGTTGCAGCCGCCTGGGGAGTGAATCATCGGATGGAAGATCTTCCTCTCTGTCTCTCCTCTCTGTATATCTGCCTTTCAAATAAAAATAAATCTTTAAAAAAAAAAAGTTACTTCTTTTATGGGTTTATTTGGAAAGCAGAGAGAGAAAGGAAGAAACAGAGAGATTTTCCATTCACTGATTTACTCTCCAAAGGACTGCAGTAACCAAAACTAGACCAGGACAAAGCCAGAAGTCTCTAACTCCATCAGGGTCTCCCATGTGTGTGGCAGGGATCCACGTACTTGGGTTATCCTCCTCTTCCAGGTGCACTAACAGAGAGCTGGATCAGAAGTGGATCATCCAGGACTTGAACTAGCACTCCCATGTAGGATGCTGGTATCTCAAGGGGTATCTTAACTCACGATGCCACAATGCCAGCCCCACTCTTAATGTTTCTTAACTTGAACCTGGAAATTAAACTGGGAGAGACTAACAGTCAAGCTACAGGAATGAGATGGTAAATTTGAAGGTAAAACTAGGCAAGAAGCAGCTGGAGAAACAACCACTACTGCCACCAAAAATATAGACACAGTTTTGGGAAGAGTGCTTAAGATGTTTTACATAAATTCTAAATGACAGGAAGTGTGGGCTGGGGTAGAAAATGAGATGGAAAAGGCAACTGCAGTAATAGTTGAAATAGATAATGATAATGACCTGATTAAGGCAATTAAGGCAGGAATGATGAGGAAAGAAAGAATTCCAAACATCCCATGTGAGTAGCCATTTGGGTTGATGACTTGCAGAATTGCATGCTTAGGATACTTCCAAGGTTTCTAGAAGGAACAATAATGATGAAGCAGTTATCACAATTTAAACACGCAGTAAATAGGGTAGATAATACTGAAGAAACAGTATCTCCAGTTGTATATTCAGTGGAGGTACCAAGGAGAAAGCTGGAAATAATCATGTATGCAGTATTTTGGAATTAGATTCCCCAGGATAGAGAGAGGAGGTGGGGAGGAGAGAGGAGAAAATGAGAAAAGAGAGGAGGGGCGGGGAAACCTGGTCTCAGGCCTTTAGGCAGCTTCCTTAACCCTCAACATCTGCTTAGCATAGATCTGGTTAAAATAAATAAGCATAATGATAAAACCGACGGTCAGTGCAGGGTATGCCATAGAAGAAGATGGCTGTGGATGGAGGCACCTCCTGTCAGGCAAACACCAGATTTTGCTGTACGCTCCCCCACACAGGAACCCTCAATGCTTACACTTCTGTCATCCACACTCTGTTTACACAAATTCTGCCCTAAGTGGTACCTGTTCTATTACTTAATTCTCACTTTAACTTGGCTATTTTACATGCTTTCACTTTTCATTTAAATAGGAGATCACTCTCATCATTATTATTAAAATATGGGTGCCATTTCTCCTGGGAAGCAGATGCATGCTTATTGAAGCTTTTGGTTTGAGGTGCATTCTCTGGAAAAGAAGTAAGTGCAGGGCTGGCAAAACAGCTCCATTTGCTAATCCTCTGTCTGCAAGTCTCAGCATCCCATATGGGCACCGGTTTGTATCACAGCTGCTCCTCTTCCCATCCATCTCTCTGCTTATGGCCAGGGAAAGCAGAGGGGGTTGACTCAAGTCCTTGGAACCCTGCACTTGTGTGGGACATCAGGAAGAATCTCCTGGCTCCAGGCTTCGGATCAGCTCAGTTCCAGGCATGGTGGCCATTTGGGGAGTGAACCAGAAGTGGAAGACCTTTCTGTCTCTCCACTCTATAAATCTGCCCTTCCAGGAAAAATAAATAAAATAAACCTATTAAAAACCATTAAAAAACAAAAAGGTAAGTAGAGTTTAAAAACATACCATATCATAAATGTCACACTGGGGGAGTGAGTAAATTGAAAGGTAGATGTTGAACTTGACAAAACAATTATTCATCAATGGTGGAGTTAGAAACTACATTTTTGGCCTAAGCAGTAAGTAGCAGTGGCCCTGCCTGATGGTTCCATTGGTTAATTCTCTGCCTTGCAAGCACTAGGATCCCATATGGGTGTCTGGCTGCTCCACTTCCCATCCACTTCATGTGCTGGCTGTTCCACTTCCCATCCTTATGGCCCAGAAGAGCAGTGGAAGATAGCCCAAAGCCTTGGGACCCTGCACCTGTGTGGGAGACCTGTTAGAAGCTACTGGTTCTCGGTTTTAAATCAGTTCAGCTCTGGCCTTTGCAGCCACTTGATGAGTGAACCAGCAGATGAAAAATGGTTGTCTCTCCTCTCCATAAATCTGCCTTTCCAATAAAGAAAATTTTTTAAGCAGTGGGTGGCAATAAGAAGGTGGGGACAGTTGACTAATGCTCTTCAGGAGACAGAAGATGGTGGCAGGGCAGTGCCCTGAGAGCCATTGTCTTCAAAGGATATTCATTTCCCAGCACAGTCCAAACCTAACCCTTTTCATGTGTAACTATTCAGTGCCAATGAATTACAATACCCTACTTAAAAACTAACTCCTTTATGAAAATTATTCAGTTGTATTTTTCATTTAAAATAGCATATAATAGATTCCTCATTATTTTGGGTGGGAAGGGATTAAAGAAAATAAAGACATTTAATATTCTACATTATGTTTTGGTTAATTAATGAATACCATTTTTTCTCTCTCTCCCACTCCCTTACTACACATAACTCAAATTAATGATAGAGGAAAATTGGGCTAAATGGCACCCATTAGACAAAAACTGCACGGTTCAGAAAACAACCTAAACTACTTTATTTTATAAAACGATCAGGCATCATGATGCATCAGCTTGTGTTAATTATACATTTAACCGCTCTGTGGCTGAATACATGATATGTGAAACTTCAAGACATTTTAAATGATATGTATTGACAACATTAAATGAAAAATATAAGGGGAATAGGAAAATGGATACATATACACACGAAATAGGAACAGACTCTAGAATAAAATAAAATACAGCTCTCTGGCAGGTAGATTACAATATTTTTTTTCTGTATTTCCCTACATTTTTACAATTAAAAATGTTATAGAATCTCCACAAAGTGGCAGGAATTTTATCTAAGTACTAACTAACCAGTTAAACGCCCTTGCTTGGATCTAGAGGGCTCTAAAATGACACAGTTATAGTAATACTAATTCCCCAGGCTTCTTTATTCCCAGCGTCTTAGAATCTGTCCTATTTATCGTACTTTTCATACTTCCTTAGGTTCCCTCTGACCCCTTGAAGCTGAATTCTGAGAAGCAACCTGGGATGTGGAATGGAGAATACACTATCTGTTTTCAGGAATGGTACAGGTTCCACCCTCTACCACCTGTGGAGCGCTTTGGCTACGTCCTTAGATCTGCCCCTCCGTTGTCTGGGTTTTCTCATCTTCTAAATGTAACTGCCCGAGACGGAAATGGAGCGGGCTGGGTTAGCAGGGAGCACGGAGCCAGAGCTGGCGTGCCTCAGACAAGACTTCCAGGATTCAGTGAGACGTGGTCAACCGCCCCTCCCTGAAAGCAATGAGTCGGCCTCGGAGCGGGTGGGGCCCGGGAATCTGCACTGCAGCTGCCTCCCAGGTGATGCACACGCTCAGTCAGTCCTGAGAACCGAGCACTCGGCCCGGCCCTGCAGACGTCTGGTCCCCCCCCCGACTTCGCCGGCCCCGTGGACCGCAGGAGCCGTGGCGCCGAGGCCCCTGCTGCCCGCGGCCGGCCCGAGACTTACATAACGGGCCGCGAGGCGTGCTCTCGCGAGGTTTCCGCCGCCCCCCTCTTCGTTCCACGTCAGAGGGAACCGGGCGGAGCGGCCAACATGGCGGAACGCAGGCGGCACAAGAAGCGGATCCAGGTAGCTAAAGCCGAGCCTTGGGGTACGGGGCTTGAGCGCGTTCGGAAGTGAAAGAAACGGGGAGAGTTCCCCGGACAGGGCGAGCGGAAGCGAGGGAGCGGCGGGGCCGGATTGCTGAGGGAGGCCGCCGCCTGCAGGCTGCGTCGTTGTGAGGGGCCTGAGGCCGGGGGAGGCGTTGGTTGGCGCCTGCCGAGACGGACGCGGTGGTGCAGCCGCAGGGGGAAGGAAGCAGGCTCGGCGTTCGCCATCCGGCGCCCGGTTGCTGCGGCGGTGTGGGGCCGGGGCCTGCACGGGCAGCCAGGCTGCCTGGCGAGCGCCGCCCTGGACCCTCCCCGGGGGCTGCTCGCCTGCGTCCCCGCTGCATTTCCATCCTCAGCGATCCCGGGATGATGGCCTCGGTAACCGGGAGGACTGACCTGAAGCAGCCAGCTCTTTGTGCGCATACCCGAGGGGGGACTGCCCCGGAGGCCCGAGCCATCTGCTCCAGATGTTCAGTTGCCGTCCGCCCTTTCTCCCATGCTGTTATTAACTTAATCGGCCACTTGAAGCTTGCTGGCTTGCTTCCCGGCGACACGGTGTAAACAAACACAACCCCTTGGTGCTGCAACGACGTGTTGGCGCTCGGAAGCGTCTCCTTAGGCCACTGTGTCATCCACGTAACCTACATAACATTCCTCCCGCATTCCACCTGCCTGCCGGTGGTGCGTTTCCAAGCGGCTGGTCGCCCCCCACCCCTGGTTCTTGTTCTTTGCCTAGAGGATTAAGTTTGTCTTAGACTCAAGACGGTTGTTTAATTAGTCGTCGCATCCGCTCACGTGTCGGGAAATATTCATATGGCATCATACATTGGCAGCACGTAGTGAATTGTTCATGTGTCCATCATAAATTCTTACATTCGTTGGTTGTCTTTGGGTTCCTTCAGCTTTTCGTTGTTTAGAATGACTTTTTCTCTTCTGTTTCATCCGCCTGTTTTTGTAAGGTTTATCCGTTTATTGGCCTACCTACAGGTGTTTTGAGCTGTACAAATTAAAACGTCCCCGAAACCTTTTAAGTGCTATCAGAAAGATAACCAGTGCTGAGAACATTTAGAATTTAGCAGAAATAAGAAAGTAGTTCTGAATGGGAGAACAGAAGGATATTAGAAAGAGGCAAATTCCAGGTTTTCAGACCAGTAATAAAACCAGTTTTTAAGGTCAGTAGAAGTTTCTCTTTTCACTGTCACTAATCCTTCAAGATTTAACTTGTTTGACATGGATAGACAGTGTCTTATTGCAATTTGTATTTAAGTTTTTGTCAATTTTGTACTTACCCTACCCCTTATTTTTACAATTGGCAATACAGTTTTATGACCTGCAGTACACACTGTTTTACAATTTCAGCTTCCCTTTTATGTTGATATACTTCGTTTTTTAATAACTGCTCATATTTCAGTCGTGACCTTATATTGAACAGAAGTGTAGTATAGTAGTGTAGCAGCTGGTGCTGAGGCAGATGAAAACTAGAAACCCAGTCCAGTGTCTCTTGTAGATAGGAGGGACCAAGTACTTGAGCTGCACTGTGCCTTCCAGGAGCCATTTAGGTGGACGCCGGGAACTGAACTCCAGCTCTGCAGTGTGAGTTGCTGGCATCTTAGCTGCCAGCCTGACCTTTATTTTGGGTTTCGTTAAGCATACCCCTTGATACACTTAAGAAGGATTAACAGCTATCTATTAAGTAAATAAACTCTTAGGTTATGAGTTACGTATTTACTTTGTTTGAGGATTTACCTGTTAAAAGTTGAATGACCTTCATTTTCCCACCCTCTAAGTTTTCTACATGACTGTGAAGAATGTATGTGGGAAGTCTTGGAGTACTACTTTTATTCAGTCTTTTAAAATTATGCATTTTCCTAGGAAATTCCATAAGTTGTCGCCACCTATAGTATCACAATAAAATGCTGGTATCACTTCAGGTGGAGGATCAAGTATAAGACGAAATTCAGAGTCAAGTTACTTAAAGATTCTGTTATAGGACTTTTCAGGCACAACCGAGCAGTAACAGCTGAATTTCCTGTTATTTATTACTTGATGCTTCATGTTTAGAACCCTGAGTGACCTTGAATCACAATTTGTATGTTGAGGGGAAGGGCTCAGTACAAACTAATTCAGCATGAGAAAGAAGCAGCTAATGCACTTTTTCTAGTGTAGCCTAAGTTCGGGTTCTGATGTCTCATCAAAGTTGGGAGAGGATTTTTTCCCATTTCTTTTTGAACAGCAGCTATTGGTCACTGAAAACTGCTCGTTGATAACTTTGTTGCAAAATTTTATGCTCAATCTTCTCAAAAAGAGAATGACCTCAATCCAGTCAAACTAATGAAACATTCAGAGATACAGAGTTTCATGTTCCTTAATAAAAGCAATTCTGTAAATTTTTAGGAACATAGAGTAACTTTAGGTAGACTTTGAGGTGCTGCTTAACAAAAATGTTGACTTAGAATATTGCTCTGATGAAATTTAGACTACATAGGATCTAGTAATATTTATTTGGAATTCTTTATTACAAATTTGGGTTGATAAAATTTGGGACCCAAAGCTTGTCTTTCCCAGCACACTTCCCCATTTTATAGATAAACCGAGGTGAGTTGCAGTGCTTTGACTTCTCCAGATATTACTCAACAGGGTAAAACCGATTTAGAGCAGAGTGTTTACTAAAAGTAAGTTATGTTGGAATATTTTAATCCTGAGTTTTTAAATTTTAAACAGTGTAACAAAAATATAGCTTGTTCCTGCTAAAGATACTCATCCAGTACTCTGCTGAAGTGTAAAATACCTAGTTTAGTTTTGAGGCTTTTTTTTTTTAGAATTGGTTTATTTGAAAGAAAGAGATAAACAAAATTTTCAGCTGCTAGTTCATTCCCCCAACGCCTGCCACAGCCTTCAGCTAGGACTGCAGCCAGGAGCCGCTGCCTGTCTGTTTGTGCATTAGCGTGGAGCTGGGGTCGGGAACAGGGTCAGGTATCCAGCCTGGGTACTGGAGATGGAATGTGGGCGTTGGGGGCATTGACATGGCTCACCAGTTCTTGGAACTTTTGTAATCTTCAGCGTTTATTTTTTAACTGTCTTGAACGGTGGTAAAATCTTGACATATCAGGAGTTCATGTGCTTAGTTTCAGAAAAGGGAAGAAAACAGAGCTTGAGACCATGTTGACATACTCTGCAGGTATGACTTCGTGGCAAGGTAGCAGTCCTAAGCATGAACTGTCTGTCCCCAGGGGCCTAATGGAGGATTTTCCAGTTACCCAGCAAACCTGCTGCTAATCAGGCGACATAGTGTGTCCAAGAAAGTGGGAGTATTATGTAGAAGGATGCTGCTGAAGTCAAGATGTAAATAATGTACTGTGTGACTTCAAACTCCTGATTTATCTAAGATCCCGCCAGCTTTCAGGTTTTAATTTGTGTACTTTGCATTTTCACAAGTCTTTTAGATTGCTTGTCTAAAGATAAAAATTACCCAGCTTTCCACTGGAGAGTCAACTAAATTTATTTCTATTGGATGTAGTTTTTAAATTCTTAAATCACAGAAAGCCTGAAACATTGATGTTTGTGGCTTGTTCTTGACCCAATTGTTTTCTCAAAAGGTGTTGAGTATTGGCTAAAATCATGGTTAGAAATGGTAAGTTGGGTTTCGTTATAGCTTTGGAGTGTTCATGGAATCTAACGTAAAAATACTGTTTGTTAAATCATTGTATCAGAATATTCTGATGAAATTTGAAATTTAAATAATTTTGGTTTATGAGTTACAGCAGGCCAATATATTGATACTTAGGTTTCAGAGAAGGGCAGAATAGACTAAATTGATGGCTCTTAATTCTCTCACTGTAAAGCAGATTGTGTTCATTCAGTGAGATCACATAATTATTCTCAAAACCAAGGATTATTGGGCTGATTTCTCTATCTCTCTCTGTTTTCCCTCATATTCCCCCAGGTTCCTCACTTCTAGTTAGATGTCTTTTAGAAAAGTTAAGACTAATGTGTGTTCCCATTAAATAGAAAGAAGGGAGGTACTGCACAGCAGTAAAAGAGCAAGAAGGTAGACAGTCTGATGTCCACTCTAGGCCACCGTGGGCGAGCAGTGAGTGAAGGCTGCATGTAGGACGTATGTTGGAACCCACTTCTCCTGTTTCTCCTGGTGCTCTTTGTAGTAATTGTTCTGATTCCTAAATCTCTGCAGATGGCACAAATTATTCTCACCAAAGATAGTCTATAAAATGAAAACTGCAAGGAAGTATCAGTGAGCACATACTGTATTTCTGTGTTGATTATACAAGAAATTACCCAACTTCATGCTTTCTGGGTCTTTTGTTGTTCTGTTCATTGTTGCTTAATAGTACTTTTTATAAGCAGGACATGCGATTGTGGAAAATTTTGGTGCACTTGAGGTAAATTGTTAAATGAGATTTTTAAATGTTGTGGGTACATAATAGTATTGGAATATCTGTTGCATAAAATAGCATTAGTTTTTTCAGTCTTTTAATATTAGACAAATATTCAGTCTGATTTTGTGTATGATGACCTTGTCCGCAGTTAGAAGACTTGATATATTTATGTCTGTTAAATAAGTAAGTTAATTGCATTTATTGAGCTAAGATATATCATGCCTAACATGATTTTGTTCTTCAGAATCACCTTCCTCCTGTATTTCTTTTCGGTGTCAAACTGTCCTTTCCAATTTAGAAACTCATCAGTTAAAAATCAGATATTTTTTCCATTCTTTATCAGAGTCCTGTCTATTCTACATTAGAAATGTTTCACATATGCATATCTTCCCATTACTGATCCGATATCATAATTAACTTGACCAATTCATTACTCTTCTAACTAGTCTCCCTGACTTGTACAATCATGTTACATGCTGCTACCAAGATGTATTGTAAGTAATTTTTCTTTCTTTTTTTTTTTGGATATGTATTTATTTTTATTGGAAAGGCAATTTTACAGGGAGGAGACATTGAGAGAAATATTTTCCATGTGCTAGTTCACTCCCCAAGTGCCACACTGGCCGGAGCTGAGCCGATCCAAACCAGGAGTCAGGTGCCTTTTCCAGGTCTCCCACATGGGTGCAGGGTCGGTCCCATGTCTTTTTGGCGATCCTTTGCTGCTTTCCCAGGCCACATGTAGAGAGCTGGATGAGAAGTAGAGTGGCCAGGACACAAGTGCCCATATGGGGAATCCTAGTGCTTGAACGTGCAGGATTAGCCAATCGAGCCATTGTACTGGGCCCACTTTCTGCACTTCTAAGGTATTTTTCTGCTGCTCTGTTGGGAAAGTATTAATATGGAAAGAGTTAGATATCTTGCTTTAGGAATCTTTAGTATTCACTGTGGCATTGTCCAAAGACTATAAGCCAAACACTCAGAATGTGTGTGTGTGTGAGAAATTTAGGCTTATTCAGACTTCTCCCCACAGTTCTTTTCTCTTCTAAGAAGGAAGATTGTTGCAGATCTGTTGGAAGATGTGGAAAACCAACAAAGCCTATACCCTTCTTGCTCTTCAGAAAAGGATTTGGGAATTTAAGGAGTCAGAGTCAGTGAGACACAACTGGGCAAAACTAGGTGGAACATGAAGGTATGGGGTAAAAGCCCTCACCCCCAATTTTTAATCAAGCACATTCCAGTAGCAAGTATTAAAATCGGTTTCTAAACCATTTATAGGTGTCATTATCTTCAACTATTAGTACTACTTCCATTATGTGAATATCTAGACTATTTTTACTAACAGACAGTCCTTTTAATATTTTACCCAGTTAAGTACTGTCAATATATATAATTCCAATATAGATAATATATTTTAGTGTGGCTTCAACAATTTTAATTATAAATGGTCAGATTTATTATGTCATGAATTTCTTTTTGTAAGTAGACCTCCAGTTAAACAGTTATGAAAGAGGTAGATGTTAGTGAACTTGAAATGTTAAATTTTGAATGTGCAGTTTTTTAGATGTTGTTTTTCTATGATACTTATTTAAAGGTTTTTATTCCATAAATATGTGGAGTTTATAACATTATGATTGAGTAATTTGAGCACTTGATTTTTATTGCCCAAGCAATTCACAGGTGATAAGAGTGCACATAACAGCACATTTTGGGAAAGATAATGCAAAAAGAAAACAGAAGGTAGAAGCAGCCTTCCCCGCGCTGCTCTTGGTCAGTACACTTCCATAATCAGTTCTCTAGGAGCTAGCAGTATCTGCTTGTATTTTTTGGCTTTGTTGTTGTTGTTGTTTTGGTTTTTGTTTTTTTGTTGTTGTTGTTTACCCAATTCATTAAGGAAGGAAACAAGACAAACTGAGAAAAGATGCAATCACAAGAGGAAAGTCAGTAGTTCTTACACTACCAAGTTGGCAGCTACCATTGGTTATTGGACAACACCATGGTCTGTTATCAATGTTCTGGTTACATCTTGTGCTGTTGTTATTTAACATTTGTTTGTGGCATCTTTTTCCACTCATTTGACACGTGGGCACTTACTCTTGACAATATCTTTTAAATTATTGGTTTGTGGCTTATAGAAAAAGCCTATGCAACAGAGAGGGTGAAGTTATTACACAGTAAAACCACTCATCTGCCTGTGAGAGTGGAGCTTAAACAAACTGGCTCTGTCTCTAGCAATTTGTATTTGATGAAGTGAGTAATATTTACAAATTTCCGCTTTGTCATTTGTATCCTAATATTGGCTTTTGTATCTTATATTGCCGCATGTGCTCCAGAGAAAACTTGAAAGCAAAGCCGATAGGCCACTTGAGATGATTTGCAGAAGAGGTCTGTAAATTACTCTTCAGAACTTGAATCTCAAATAAATGATTACACAGAATTAATATTCTTGCATTGTAGGAAGTTGGTGAGCCATCCAAAGAAGAGAAGGCTGTAGCCAAGTATCTGCGATTCAACTGTCCAACAAAGTCCACCAATATGATGGGTCACCGGGTTGATTATTTTATTGGTAAGATTATCAGTTAAATCATACTACTATACTAAAGCAGTTATTGCTACTTGGGAAGTGTAGAGTTTTAGAGGTGCGTCTAAGTGTGATGCACCTGGTGAAGAGCATGTGGCAGTTATTGTTTTATGATTGAAATGCCTATAATAAAAAATCGAAAGCAGGTGCTTTCTTAAAAAAAATTACTCTGAGTATTTTTAAATAATGTCCTTTGTTTAGATGGTATATGTCTTGTAACTAACTTGGACATTTGGTTCTCTACATTCCGGGGATAGGGAAAGGTAAGGCCCTCAGAATCATTTGCTCTGCCCCTATTGTGGCAAACAGAGGCAGAACTCAAAATTCAACAAAGCTGTAGCAGGTTAATTTTGAAGTTGATAATTTTGTATTGCCTATGAATGATGTTGTAAATGACCAAATAGCCCTTGGTAGAAAAAACGTTCCCCACCCCTAAAAGCTAAAATGTGTGTGTGTGTGTGTGTGTGTGTGTGTGTGTGTGTGTGTGTGTGTGTGTGTGTAACTTATAAATAATGGTTGGGTTTAATGAATATCTTAATTAAAATTGGATTGCCCTTATGGAAAAGAAATTTATTTACTTTTTTCTTTAGTGTTATTATTAGTGCTTTTGATATTCATTTAATCTGAAAAATAGACATGCTTATCTCTTCAAATCTATTATATTTAGCTGCTTCTAACTATAGCAGTAGATTATTTGAAGAGCTTAAATTGTCAGTGAATTACAGTAAAACTTGATGAGAATTGTTATTACTGGAAAGGAGGGAGGATGGGTTTTAGTTTGTTAATTCTATATTTGATTATTTGATACAAATAATAGTTAAATATTTGGGGAGTTTGTTGAGAACATTTCCCCATTTATCTCATTTTAATCAGTATTTCTGAATGCTATTATTTTCTAGCATTACTTTTAAAAAGATACTTATCAGTTTGTTTCACAAATCAAAGGTTGGTAGAACTGTTTGTGAGCAGTTGAGATTGATTTTTTTCTGTTGCCATAATGTTGAAACTATTTATAAAATATTATTAGGTATTAATTAGACATAAATTTTCAGCATATTAAATTTAATCTGTTTTTCCTTTAGCTTCAAAAGCAGTGGATTGCCTTTTGGATTCAAAGTGGGCAAAGGCCAAGAAAGGAGAGGAAGCTTTATTTACAACCAGGGAGTCTGTGGTTGACTACTGCAACAGGTAGTGTTTCTAGCTAAGGATAACATAAATAATGATTCTTGTTTTCTCTCCAGACCTAAAGTTGCTCACCTACATTTGTCATTAAACACAGTGATATTACATACTTGTGTCTAACCCAGATTTCTTTAGTACCTCTGGAAATGTGTTATTAGACTATTTAAACTGTAGTTCTTCATTAGATTCTGTTATTTTTGTGTATTTGCCAGACCTGGTTAACTAAAAGGCTGACAATAAAAATGATATGCTTGTCCCTTTGGCTATCAGAAGTTCTTTGGTAGAAGTGATAGAGAGATCTTTTTTCCAGAACATTTTCTTCCTTTTAGTATCTGTGCTCTAAACCATAACCTGGACACCAGTCCTTTCCTTGCCAGTGGTCACTGTAGTTAGTCATCCTTGTGAAATCAAGGCAGCTGCAATATCCACCATGCCTGTTTCTGAGGGTTTCAACATAAAGTGCAATTCAGTAGCATACACATTGTTTTCATAAGAGGTACTTTCTCGTTTAAAAATTTTCAATGACATGTAATGAACCTAAAAGATAAAGATATCTTACATGTGTGATTATTTTCTTTACATGCTTTCCCTCTGTTTACTTAATACTTTTTAATAGATGCTTTCAAATTGTTTTTCATGACTTGTAAGCTTACAGGGAATTTGGGTTCTTAGGTTATTTCACATATTTGATTTGAAGCTGCATGCGGCACTTACCTAGTATTTCATTTAATGGCCCTTGAAGTTCAACCATTTGGTAGCCCTTTAAAAACTACTGTTTCACAATGTGGATTGTTAAACTGCTGAGTTAAAGGCTTATCAGATATTTCTTAAAATTCTTAGTTGCCAAAGACTAGAGGTCACAAACAGACCTTTTAGAAACAGTAAGTTTCATTGTTCAGGCAGGTACATTAAGCTAACAGCACAGTCAATATTCGCTTGTTCTTTAAAGCAGTGCATCTAATTAGAATTAACTTGAAAGTACAACCTAACCCCTGATTCAAGATCATTTTTTCATGTATAGTTTAAAATTAAGAGATGTTTGTGACAAATCTCATATTTAAATCCAGCAGTCTGGTTCTTAACCATTGCATTGTACTGTGTAAGAAAACAGTGATGTATTTAATGGGACAAAAATTATACTGGATGCACCTGCCTGTACTATTAATTTGGTTTATTAAATCTGGGCACCCAAGCCTCTGAGGAGAACAGTGTATTAATCTACATCCCTTGGCCCTTTGGAAGCCTTTGTATCTTGTTTTATGAAAATCTCATAAGCCCCAAATACAAATAATGTCCTTGAGGCACAATTAATACCAAAAATATATACTTCAGTCAGAGAAGATTTACAGCTAATTGTATATGTTGTTCCATTCATGTTAAATTGTTTACATCTTTTCTGCACTAATATGGAGACCTGACTACCTACAGTCTTCACAGCCACTCCTAACACAATCCAAAAGTTGTCTTGAAACCAGTGCCTGGAGTTCCTGCCCAACCACAGGCTGAATCACAGAGATTCTTTGTAAAGCAGCTAAGTGGTCATTATGGAGGAAAAACAAAAGAAAATAGGAAAATATGGGATAATAACAAAGCAGTTTTTCTAGTACGATCCAGCCTTTTTCGGATCTGTTTCATGTATGATCTCTTCAGCCTAGTTTCCCTTAGGCTTTGCATCATCGGCCCCTAATCCAGTAATGTGCTTTTTTTTTTTTAAGATTTATTTATTGGAAAGTCAGATATACAGATAGGAGAAGAGACAGAGAGGAAGATCTTCCGTCCTATGATTCACTCCCCAAGTGAGCACAACGGCCGATGCTGTGCCGATCCGAAGCCAGGATCCAGGAACTTCTTCCAGGTCTCCCACGCGGGTGCAGGGTCCCAAGGCTTTGGTCCATCCTCGACTGCTTTCCCAGGCCACAGGCAGGGAGCTGGATGGGAAGTGGGGCTGCCAGGATTAGAACCGGCACCCATATGGGATCCTGGCGCATTCAAGGCGAGGACTTTAGCCGCTAGGCCACACCACCAGGCCCCAATAATGTTCTTTTAAGTAGCGTCTGTTCTGTTATTATTTTTTTTTAATCATAACCTGTCACTTAGCCCGAATAGTTCCCGTCCTTATCCTACCATCTCTCCCTATTACAAATGTGACCTTCGACATGTACTGCTACTAAGTAGTATTCTGCTGGTCCTCCTTCCCTTTTTTATCGAAAGTCTACCTGATTGGTCAATTTAATGTCACCCTGTTTGATTCTATGCTATTTTAGAGTTTTTGTATATATGTTAGCTTTTTAGATCTGTTTTGCCAGCTAACTCTGAAAACATTGTAAGCTTTGTTATAACTTCACAGCAATTAGTACAATGTGGGCACTTAACAAAAACTCACTGGTGCCACAAACGTGCTGCACAGGGGAGAATCAAGACAGTTGTCTGATGTTCAATAAATATTGGTTCATCCAGGAAAAAAAAATTAAAACGTGAATACCTGTTATATGCCAAACTCCGGAATACAACTGTGACTTATTTTCTCACTCCAAAATATATACTTCAGGGCCCGGCGCGGTGGCGCAAGTGGTTAAGGTCCTCGCCTTACACGCCCGGGATCCCATATGGGCGCTGGTTCTATCCCAGCAGCCCCGCTTCCCATCCAGCTCCCTGCCGGTGGCCCAGGAAAACAGTTTAGGACGGCCCAAAGCCTTGGGACCCTGCACCCGCGTGGGAGACCCGGAAGAGGCTCCTGGCCTTGGACCGGCATAGTATCGGCCCGTTGCGCTCACTTGGGGAGTGAATCATAGGACGGAAGATCTTCCTCTCTGTCTCTCCTCTCTGTATATCCACCTTTCCAATAAAAAAATAATAATAAATAAATCTTAAAAAATAAATATATACTTCAGTCAGTTAGAGAAGATTTATAGCTAATTAAAATGGCATAGCAAGCTAAAGCTCCCATTTTCAGTGCCAGCATCACATTTGGGCACCATTGCGAGTCCCGGTTGCTCCACTTCTGAATCAGATTGCTGCTTGTGGCCTGGAAAAGCAGCCGAGTATGACTCGAGTATTTGGGATTCTGCAATCACGTGGGAGACCCAGGGAAGCTCCTGGCTTCAGATCAGCTCATCTTTGGTCATTGTGGCCATTTGGAGATTGAACCAGTGATGGAAGACCTCTTTCTCTGTCTCTCCTTTCTCTATAAAACCTGTCTTTCAAATAAAAATAGTAAGTCTTAAAGTAAAAATGTAAATAGATAATTAGTCAGCAGATGAAGAGATGGTCATTGTAAGCACAGTGCACAGAACATGCTGGGATAGGCAGTTGGGAGTAGTTATATCAGAACATATATAGTCAGAGCTTTGTGTAGCGATTTATCCAATAAAGTATATGTAAAGCCCAATAAATGGGTGTTCTGATTGTATTACAAAGGTTGAATAGTGTCAGTTTCACTTTTCTAGACATAGAACAAGTTGAAGTAAATGTTCTCCAAAAATTCATCAAGGAATACTTATAAGTAAAATACATGATTCTGCTTATTACAGGACAAAATGATACTATAATGATTTATGAAACCAAACCAGTATGTGCTTCATAATTGTTAAGTCACATTGAGGATTTTTGCCATAGCAGCAATGACTAGTATTTACTGAGGACATGTATGCCAGACACTATGCTAAACACTTTGAAGAGTTCTCATTTTTCTTAACAAACTCCGCCTATGAGATTGATACCTCATTTTAGACGTGAATTGAAATGATTAATTACCCTAAAATTACTTCTCTAACATGAGATTATTTTTCATACCATTTGATTAGTAGTTAATAATCTAGTTTCATGAAAGTGGAACAGCTATGCTGGAAAAGTGACAGAGGAGGTGATGCTGCTGGTATGTGTCCTATATCAGCTCACCAGAAAAAATATTTTTCTCTAATAAAATTAAATGGTTTGCTTAGTGTTTTATTTTTAATTGATTTTCATGTTATTTGAAAGGCAGAGGGAGAAAAGCAGACAGATTTTCTATACCTAAATGCCTGCAACATCCATGATGGCCCACAGCAAGTCTGTAAGCTGAACTGACATCTCAGTCCAGTCTCCTATGGGGAATAGGCACCCAGGAAGTTCTGTAGTCGCTGCTTCCCCCAAGAGTGGGCACTAACAGGGAACTAGACCAAAAGTAGAGCAGTCAGGACTTGAACTGGTGCTCATGTAGGATGCCTGCATTACAGGCAACCACTTTACCTGCTTTGCCATATTCCAGCCCCCAAGTGGCATCTTAACTGCTGCACTAAATAATTTGTGCCCTCTGATTTGCTTTTTATTCATTAAAGATTTATTATTTATTTGATAGAGTTAGGGAGAAAGAAAATATATCCACTGGCTTATTTTTCAAATGGGCGTGATAAACCCAGAGCCAGGAGCTTCTTCTGGGCCTCCCATATGGGTGCTGAAACCTTGAGCTATCCTTCACTGCATTCCCAGGCACATTAACAGGGAGCTGGATAGAAAGTGGAACAACCAATGCTGGCACTGTGGGTGGCAGCTTTAATCCACTATGCCACAGTGCTGGAGTACCAGCCCCTGGTTTGTCTTTTAAATTATTTTCCATTAAGAATAGATTTTTCTGTGAAAAACAAGTTTGAAAAAAACTGAATATATAATAAACGATACAGAAGAAAATTCAAATTACTAATATTGCTTCACAGACAGCCATATTACCCTTTGGGAATATAGACTTCACATGTCTGTATACACACGTACTCTTACTACATGGACATCTATAATATGAACTAATCTAAAATGCTGCTGTTTTGATAAATACTCAATGAACAAGATACATTTTTGTTTTCACATTAAATAGTAGTAAATGTTCCTGATAGAAAAGTTAGAAATCATGTCAGTACACAAGGAAAACTAGTCTGTACATTTTCATTGTAAATTTTTTCCAGACATTCTGAAATAGAGTAAAAATTATGAAACTTGAGGGTGGCATTCTGGTGTATCCGATTAAGCCACTCTTGGGATACCTGTGTCCCAGATCCGAGTATCTAGAATTGAGTCCTTCTTCCACTTGTGATCTACTTTACGGATTATTTGCCTCAGAGGAGGCAGAGATGACCCTGAGTACTCTGGTTGCTGCCATCTACGTAGGAGATCCACTTAGAGTTCCTGGTAGGTCTAACCCTGCCTATTACGGGAATTTGGAAAATAAATTAGCAGATAGAATACTCTCCCTTTCTTTCTCTCCCCCCCTCTCTCACATACACACTGCCTAACAAATAAGTAAATCTTAAAAAAAAAAAAAAAGCAGGTGGAGGGAGTGAGCAAGATATTGTGGCATGCTATGCTGCTGGTTGGGATGCTGGCATCCCATGTCAGAGTACTGATTCAAGCTCTGGCTACTCCTTGCAGTCGGTGCTGGTGTGCCCGGGAAGCAGCCAGTGGCGCAACTACTGGAGTTCCTGCCACCCACAGGGTGACCAAGATGGAGTTCCTGGTTCCTAACTTTGGACTGTCCTATCCTCTGCTGTTGTGGCCATTTGGGGATGAATCAGTGAATGGAAGCTTTCTGTTGTTCCCTGTGTTTGACTCTACCTCTTCAATAAACAAGTCTTTTAAAATATAAATATGTATATAAACACAAAATAAGTATAATATATACAGATTAGTAAATATAAACATAAATTTCCTCTTCATTATGTGCCACTATTAAATCTCACTTTCTAATTTATAAACATAAAACAAAATGTAAACGTAAGAGACCTTAATAATTAAGGTCTTTTTTTTTTTGGATTTTTATTTTATGTGTTTTGTTTGTGTACACATAGCAGATACTAATGGTAGCATTTTGGAGGTCAGTTTAAACAGCTAAATAACAATATGCTAAATAGATACTTGAAACAAATAGGATGAACCAAATGAGGAAACCTAAATATTAACATTAGTCCAGCTCATTAGACAAATCTTAGTACCAGTCAAGCAAGTGAAACACAGATATTCCAGGAGATACAGCACAGTGTAGGAAAGAAAAGGTTACCTGGAAGGAGGCATTTCATTAGCCCATAGTGTGATAAGTTGGAATAGGCACCCATAAGCATTAAGTAAACAAATGGATAGTCACCATTAGCAGGCAGAGATGGTGGCAAGACCTAACTTCTAAATCATATATAAATTATCAAGGCAAAAACAAAGAAATAAATCAGGAACTCTGAAACTGAAACATTGGATTTGAGAATAGAGTTTTTAAGTACAAAAGTAAGAGTAACACAGTTTCTTGGATAGAATTTTAAAATCAGAAATCAACTGTAGGCAAGGTCAATTTAGGATCAGCTGCACATCTGTACTCAACAGATAAAGAAATGAATAAAACAAAGGCTTCATTTTTTTTTAAGATTTTTTTTTAATTGAAAGGTCAGATATACAGAGAGGAGGAGAGACAGAGAGGAAGATCTTCCATCTGTTGATTCACTCCCCAAGTGGCTGCAATGGCCAGAGCTGCACTGATCTAAGCCAGGAGCCTGGAGCCTCTTCTAGGCCTCCCACATGGGTACAGGGTCCCAAGGCTCTGGGCCGTCCTCTTCTGCTTTCCCAGGCCACAAGCAGGGAGCTGGATGGGAAATGGGGCTGCAGGATTAGAACCAGCATTTATATGGGATCCCAGCGGGTGCAAAGTGAGGACCTTACCCGCTAAGCTACCACCCTGGGCCCAAGGGCTTCACTTTTAAGTTTAGAGTCTAGTGAAAGAGTAAGTAGATAAAGTGAATGGTGCCTTGGGCTAGAGGCGCTATGGCTGGGATAATGGGACTCAAGAAGGACCTGGCTTGTTACTCTTACCAGTGTACATTATGGTTGAACCTGCTTGAAGGAAATAGGAAGTAAAGTCAAAGAACCTGCTTTAAAGGGGTGGGGGGAACATCCAGGGAGGAGTACAGCCAGTGTGGCAGTCCTAAGGAGAGAATATTTAAAAAAAAAAAAAGAAAAGAAAGAAAGAAAACAGCTAGAAAGAGGGCAGAACAATGTAAACATTAGCCAAAATGGACATACATACTGTTTTGTCAAATATATTGTGCATTTTTTAGTTTAATGTTGTGAGAGTCCTTATCCAAGTCCAGCAGTCTAACCTTAATATACTTAGCTATGGGCCCAGCGCCATAGCCTAGTGGCTAAAGTCCTCCCCTTGTATTTGCTAGGATCCCATATGATCGTTGGTTCTAATTCCAGCTGCTCCCTGCTTGTGGCCTGGGAAAGCATTCGAGGACAGCCCAAAGCCTTGGGACCCTGCATCCACGTGGGAGACCTGGAAGAAGTTCCAGACTCCTGACTTTCGATCAGCTTAGCTCTGGCTGTTGGTGACCACTTGAGGAGTGAATCAGCAGATGGAAGCACTTTTTCTCTGTCGCTCCTCCTCTCTGTATATCTGCCTTTCCAATAAAAATAAAATTATTTATATATATATATGTATGTATACACACATATACACACTCTCAGCTGTTTATTACTTAATTGAGATTTTATGATAGCAGCTGTCTAATGAAATACATGGAAAAATATTAGGTTGGAGCTAAGAAGATACGTTTTAGAGTAGTCAAATCATGGGCACACTTGTGTTCTGTTAACATTTCTTGAATGTTATCTTTTCTCCCTTTTTATCTTTGTTCTTGCACTTGAGACTTAGCATTGAATAAAGCCGAGTCTTGATAGCTCTGCATGGACTTGAGAAAAGCTTTTTAATCTTTTTACATCTAAATTGTATTAAATACTACTGAACTGTTTCGACATTTGTGTCATTTGGCTATAAAGTTTTTATTGTGGATGGAGTTGACTTATTTTTTTTCCATAGGCTTACTACTTGTGATTTCCCTTCTGAGTTGTCAGAAAAGTCTTGATATATTTTTTTTTTGTCTGTATCTGAATAATTGACAAAGAATGTAATGTATGCCTTTTTTCCCCAAAGGTTATTAAAGAAGCAGTTTTTTCACCGGGCTTTGAAAGTAATGAAAATGAAGTATGATAAAGACATAAAGAAAGAAAAAGATAAAGGGAAAGCTGAAAGTGGAAAAGAAGAAGAAAAAAAGAGCAAGAAAGAAAATGCAAAAGATGAAAAGACAAAAAAGGAAAAAGAGAAAAAAAAAGATGGTGAAAAAGAAGAATCCAAAAAGGTGGTTTACTAAAATTAAGTAAAAATTTAAAAATCGTTAGGTACACATGAACCAGCCAGCCTGTGAGCACCCAGATTATTATGTAGCACCCGCTTCTGTATTGCAAGGAACCAGTGAGGATTATTTATGTAAATATCACACTGATTTTTACTGCTGTGTTATTTCTTCTCTCCACATTGTGTTTTGATAGGAGGAAACTCCAGGAACTCCCAAAAAGAAAGAAACAAAAAAAAAGTTCAAACTTGAGCCACATGATGACCAAGTTTTTCTGGATGGAAACGAGGTGAGAGCATTTAGCCTAGAGTCAAGTTTCCAGTAGGAGTTTCTAGAAATATGTTTGCCTTCACGGAAAAAGGTAGCTCAGATAAATCTAACCATGTGCTTAAGTGCAGATGCTCATGAGCTTGCAATGGTGTTAACTCAGTAAACCCTTCCAGCAGAGTTACATCTCAATAAACCTATTAAGTTGAAAATATCCTAAGTTGAAAATGCGTTCACTATACCTAACCTATCAAGCATCATAACCTGGCATACTCAGAGTATTTCATTAGCTACGTTGGGCACAATCATGTTACAGACTTCTTTAGCTGATTAATTTGAGAATAAGAGAATGTAGAACATGAACTCCTATCCACTAATTCACTCCCCAAATCCCTGCACTGGCCAGAAGTAAGGCAGAGACAGGGTCAGAATCCAGGAGTACAATCCTGGCCAGTTCCTCGAGCCATCACCGCAGTCTCACAGGAGCCAGCACATGGGAGAGTATCGTGCTATAAATCAGCAACCTGGGGGAAAAAATCAACGTTGAAATGTTGAAGTACAGTTTTTGTTGACTTAATGTAACTTTCCCATCATAAACAAACAAAAAAGTCAAAATTTCAACCACTGTAAGTTGGGGACTGTGAGTATATGAAAGCTCTGTTTTTTTAAAAAAAAAAAAAAAAACCTCGGTATTTTCTCTGGATTTGGATCTATAAATATTAGAATGTGATTTGGTCTTGTGTTAGGAAACTTGAAGTAATAGTGATCTCATCCGTGAGGTCTAGCAGTAAGCTATAGAGACGTAGCTACGTGATGAAAGTGCTCCTCCTGTCTGATCTCCACGTGAGGGTCCAAAATCACTGCAAGCATCTGTCCCCACAAGGGGATAGGTGGGCAAAGGAAATGTCTGCTCCTTAAGGAGGTCAAGTTAAAGACACTATCTAGAAAGCTTGCTGCTTCATTTCATTCACCAGAAATGGATCACTTGGTCATATTTAAAAATCTTAGAAGTGTACTTTTTATACTGGGTGGTTATTTGAACAACTAAAATGCAGCATTTCCACCAGTATAAAAGAAGCACATGGCGTCTGTTGACCTCTGTCTCTTTTATAATTATGTTAGCAGGCATCTAACTTGAGGCATCATATTTTTCAATTTTTTTTTTACTCAAAATAATTTCTGTCATACCTTTTGTAGTGGGATGTTTATGAGGTAGTTAGGCCTCCAGGAAGACTGTTTAATTTTAGCCACTAATGCACAAACGTTAGTAAAGTACTGCCCATTGAGTTACTACACGAGTTTCAAGACATCCATTCTTGCTATGTGTAATACAGCAGTAAAATATGTAAAGTATTGGTCTTGGAGCTACATGGTAAAGTTTTGGAAAAACTTGTCATTGCACAAGAATCTCTGGTATGGAATAGGAGTGTGGGGAATGTATTAGTATAACATGTTTTCAGGTAATTCTGAAATGAACCCCTGGTTTCTGATATGAAAGCCACTGGAGAAGACAGCAGGGCCTGTCTGAAGTTTGAAAGCTCAAATACCTTCAGTTAAAACTTGAGCACCAGATTATGTGGCAGACATTTTTGTTGTGATAGCATGATAAACAGTAAAATTCTCTACTAGGAAGCTCTTGTAATCTGGCAAAAATACAAAACATATTTATAGCAGGCAAACACTGATCAGGAATAATTAATTTAATCAGAAAGGATGCAGGTGGGTCTGGAGACCTTGCATAGTTAAGCTGATCCTTGAAGGAAGACTGGCAGATTGCCAGGTGTACCAGGAAAGAGTATGGATGTGTTTGGGAAGGAAGCAGCCCAAGCAGAAGCAGGGGCGCTTACCATGCTGAATAAGCTAGCTCTTATTCTGTAGAAGGCAGTATGCATGCCAAAACTTTTAAGGTTGGGAAATGTGTTTGCTTTAGTTATCATTTTAGAGTGGTGCTTGATTTGTGGGAAACCATGCTGAATAAAATAGAAATTGAAGTGTGATTGCAGAAATTAGAGAACTGAAAAGAAAGTAGCTCTCAAATGTTAAGAGAGTGATGACAGCTTGAAAAGACCTGAAATACAGAATTAAGCTTCACTTTCTAATGTGACTTTAGAAAGTTTAAGCACTGTGATTTCTTGGTTTTTCTAGGTGTATGTGTGGATCTATGACCCAGTTCACTTTAAAACATTTGTCATGGGATTAATTCTTGGTAAGTGACAGGATGTAAGTAGCTTTAAACTACAATATAAAATGCAGAAAACAAAATTCAAGTGCTGTAATGTAAAATATCAAAATTTATAAAATGCCTGCCACTTTAAACAATAGATATTAAAGCCATAAAATAAATAGGAAACTAAGGAAGATATTTGTGACACATTAAAACAAAATCTTTAAGAGATTAACAACCTGGGGAAAAATACTAATGGCAGCTCATAAAGATGTACAGTGGGGATTGAATCATGTCCTGGATGCCCCACTCCCAACCCAGCTCCCTGCTGTTGGCCTGGGAATGGAGTGGAAGATGACCCATGTCATTGGGCCACTGCACCTGTGTTAAGGAGCTGGAAGAAGCTCTTATCTCCTGTCTTCATCCAAACCCAGTCCCAGCTGTTGCAGCCATTTACAGAATAAACCAGAGGGTGGGAGATTCTCTCAGTCATTCTTAGTCTCACTGTTGTTCTGTCCCTCTCTGTAATTCTTTCAAATAAATATATTTTTTAAAAAAAAATAGTATAGTGGCCTATCATGAATAATACTAACTCAAACTCATAATAAGTAAAGATTAAAACAATAATGATTAAGAGGATTGTAGAGTTTGCTAGTAAAGATCTTGGGAAAAAAAAAACTAGCGCACTCTGGCAGTTAGTAGATATGTCCATTATTTTTGTTTTTAGGAGAGCAACTTGACAGCTTGCTCTCAAAATTTAAGTGCATATATACTTGAACCTAATAGCATTTCAAGGAATTTATCCTGGCCACCATAGTCAGCATTGTATAAATATGCATTTATATCTATATGTAATTGCATAAAACTGGAAATAATTCAAGTGCCTCATTAGATTATTGAAATATAGTACCACTACACAGTAGAATCCACGCAACATTTAAAGAGTTAGGATTTACTGGTGGAAAAATATCGAGAATAGATTAAATGAAAAAGAAAGTTATAAAAGAATAAGAATATTATAAACTGTTTTATTTGTTAGTGGTCCAACATTGTGGTACAGCACATTAAGCTGCTGCCTGCAGTACCAACTCCCATGTGAGCACTAGTTGAAGTCTTGGCTGTGTCACTTCTGATCCACTTCCCCAACAATCTGTATAGAAAGCAATGGAAGATGGCCTGAGCATTTGGCTGAACTATGCTCAGAGAAGACCTGGGTGGGATCCAGGCTCTCAGCTTTGGCCTGGCCCGGGCTGGCCATTGTGATCATCTGGGGAGTCAACCAGTGGACAGAAGCTTTCTCTTTCTTTGTAATTCTGCCTTTAAAAGGATATATAATTTCGGATAGGTAGTTTTCGTATTATATATAAGTGATCACTGAGAGTCAGATTGGTTTCATACTTCTGGGGAGTTGAACAAAAATTGAATGAAGATAGTACTATACCTTTTATTTTATTTTTTTTTTTTTGTTAAGATTTATTTTTATTTATTTGAAAAAAGTGACAGAGAGGGGAAGTGACAAAGAAGGAATCTTCCATCCACTGGTTCAGTTCCCATACGGCTGTGATGGCCATATTTGGACCGAGGAGAAGTCTGAAGCTAGAAACTCTATCCAAGTATCCCATGTGGGTGGCGGGTCCCAAGTTCCTGGACCATTCTCCACTGCTTTCCCAGGCGCCTTAGCAGGAGCTAAATCAGAAATGGCACAGCCAGGATGCAAACCAGCACTGTGCTATGGGGTGCTGCCATCACAGGCAGCAGCTTAACGTGCTGCACCATGCTGCCAGCCCTAATTTGATATTTTAACATTAGTTGGATATTCCTTTAAATTCGGGACAGGATTGGATAGGGAAAGGCTGATTCAGCAAATTAAAAGAAATAGATGGTCACTAAAATAAGCTTGGTCAATATGATGTCATGTGTACTGTAACAAATAACTTTTATAAAGTTGAAACCCAAAACTCAACCCATGGGTAATAACTAATAGCTTTTGGTTACTTAAAATGTACTATAGTTAGTCACTTTGCTGAATATTTTATGTGCAATGACTTGTACAATCCCCAACCTTTAAAACTTAAGAACAGGCACTTTATAAAATATAGCCTAACTACTTTCTCTTTCCCTCCCTCTCTGTCAACGTGCCTTTCAGATAAAAATTTTTTAAAAAGGCAATTAACCTCAAATAATATGGTTTCTGCTTTCTTAAGATATGTTTCATGTGATCTCATTGCACTTGCGAAATACTTAGAGATACTTATATATGATTGCACCAACTCCCCCAAGAAAGCCATTTGCAGCAGCATCTCCTGGTGAACCTGCGCAGTCTGTGGCTATTAGAGCTCCGTCCCAGAATCATAATCTCCTGGGAGTGGTCTTTGGAATAATTTTTATTTGATTCATTGGTCTGATATTTATTCAAGCTGCCATCGTCTATAAGTGAATATCTTATAGCCAAATATTAATGTATTCATAGTTTGAAAATTGAAGCAGTAGATAATTTAAGAAACTTTCAGATTTTTACACAGTGCTTTTTTTCTAATTATATGTAACTTATAAAACAAATCCTAACCTAAATTAAGAGCAGTGCCGATCCAAAGCCAGGAGCCAGGAGCTCTTCCAGGTCTCCCACACAGGTGCAGGGTCCCAAGGCTTTGGCCCTTCCTCAACTGCTTTCCCATGTCACAAGTAGGGAGCTGGATGGGAAGCGGAGCTGCCAGGATTAGAACCAGAGCCCGTATGGGATCCTGATGTGTTCAAGGCGGGGACTTTAGCCACTAGGCCACTGTGCTGGGCTCCCATAATTGACCTTTTTATCTTAGAAAACAGCAGTATTTTTCATTTTCTGTCTTCTCAGAATGTTTGCTGTTGCCACAACTAAGTCATTAGGATTTCTAGTCTTAAAAATTATTAACGTTAACTCTTGCTTCTTGTTTTAGTGATTGCAGTAATAGCGGCCACGCTTTTTCCTCTTTGGCCAGCAGAAATGAGAGTGGGTGTTTATTACCTCAGTGTGGGCGCAGGCTGTTTTGTAGCCAGCATTCTTCTCCTGGCTGTTGGTAAGTACTGTTGGTAAACCTGGTCTCAGTAAGGTAGGTATTGAGCACTAGGAGAATAATCTGGAACGTCAGTAAGCTTTGTTGCAGAACAATGTAGGTAGATCAAGAAGTATTGTACCTTCTGTGTCAAATCCCAATACTGACTTGACAAGGTTAGATTGGTCCAGTCTGAAGGGAGGAATCAGTTTTTTTTTTTTTTTAAGTTAATTTTTACTATAACTATGACCTTTCTTGACGAGCTGTAATTATTTTTGGTAATGTATAGCAAAACAGAATGACTAAATCAGACTGGTTAGTATCTGTTGCCAGGCTTATCTGTCATTTTTTATAACGATATTTGAAATTTATTCTCTAAATGATTTTGAAACACATATCTTATCTCTGAAGATAGATATGCTTTAAAATTCACTACACAAGGAATTTAATATCTTTACAGTGGCCATCATTAATTAAATGTATTATTTCCTGGAAAGCATTTTGATGGTTTGCATAATGCAAATAAAGCAACTGATAAAAACTAAATTGTGTGCCTGTATTCAACAGACGATTCCAAGCAATTGGCTTATCATTTGGGAAAAAGTAATTTTCACTGATATGCCAAAATAAATTAGACTCTTTAACTGTTACTTTTGGAAAAACAAGAAAATATTGAATGGGGTTTCTGTTTGTTTGTTTGCAGTTTTAGATGATTAGAGTTTCCGAATTGCAGGTGTAATTGAAAGAACAAATAGGTTTGGATCACATAAGAATTTAAAAATTGAGATTTGTGTCATGGCATAGTGAGTTAATCAGCCATCTGGAACTCGAGCACCCTGTGTAGGTACCAGTTTGTGTCCCAGTTGTTCCCCTTTCAGTCCAGCTCCCTACTGACTCACTTGGGAAGGTAGTAGATGATGGCTCAAGGGCTTGGGCCCCTGCATTCACATGGAGACCCAGATGAAACTACTGGCTTCAGACTGGCCCAGTCCTGGCCTTTGTAAACTATTTGGGGAGTGAACAAGTGGATGGATAAAATCTCTCTGTTTCTCTGTCTCCCTAACTCTTTCAGATAAATAATTGAATAAATAAATAAATCTTAAAAAGGGAATTTAAAGACTTGTTTACTTTTATTTGAAAGATAGACTTTATAGAGTGAAGGAGAGATTTTCCATCCGCTGGTTCCCTTTCAAATGGCATCAAAGGCCTGCCATTTGAAATGATCCAAAAGCCTGGAGCTTCTTCTAGGTCTCATGTGGACGCAGGGTCCTGAGGACTTGGACCATCCTCCACTGCCTCCGCAGGTCATACGCAAGGAACTGGATTGGACGTGGAGTAGCCAGGACACCAGCTGGTGCCCATATGGGATTCTGGAGTTGCAGGCAGCCTTGCAAAATAAAAAATGAGTGACAAACAGATAGATCAGAGAAAAGATTAAAATACCCAACTACTCATGCTAGTTAATAGGAGAACTGAATATTAAGTGACAAAGGACATAAACATCCTTTCTTCATTTGCAAGAGGGAATAAAATATCAATACATGAGAGTATTCATCACAAGTAATCAAAGACTAAGGGTAATGTGTTTGTCTATATAACTATACAGATTTTTTGAAATAATGATACTTAAACACCAAGAACAGTTTGGAAGGAAATGCTCCCTAATGTGAAGTGCACTAGTTAGGATTTTAATCTTTTTTACACCTGTGTGCATTTTCACACAAGGGACATATTACCTAACTAGGTTTAAAACTAATAGATACCATTTTACTTAAAAATACTAAACTGAAAATTTGCTCTTGTATTGTAGGAAGCTCTAACCTTTCACCTTGACAAATATGTGTGAATTTTTCTCAGTTTATCCATCTGTTTATTATTTAATTGCGTTGAATTCCTTGATCCACTTGGAGTTTATGTCAATATGTGGTATGAAGTTCTGATTATCTTCACCAAATGACAAATCAGTCTTTCAGTAAGACATAGGAACACTTCTTCATAAAGATATGAACAATGCAAACCTTTTTAACCCAATATGTTACATAGTGTAATTTGGCCAACATTACTTGAATTGTGTGTATATTCTGTGAAACATACATATGCCTTATGTTTATAAAGCATTACTTCTACAGCCCCACCGACCATCAGAGAATCCTGGGTCAGTGCTACCATCATGGACACAGGGGCTCATTGAGGAGTCCTTCAATCTACCCTATTGATGGGCCTCCTCTGTCTGAGTGAACTCGGACTCTGACGAAGGCCTTTTCTACTGTCATTGTTTTCTCCATCTCCAATCTAGTCACATGGAGAAAAGAACTTCTCCAGTGTGTAATATCATATTTGTAAGGAAATAAAATGTATGCCTGTTAAGCTGGTAACTTAGTGTAATACCTACATCAATAAAGAAAAAAGGCATACATTTTGGTTTGACATTTGATACAAGAAAAGTTATGCCTTATGACTGATTCTCAAATCACTGAAATTTAGAAGTAGTCATTAGTTCCATTGAATGATTTATATTTTCCTCTTGAAAATATTTCTTTAGTATTTTTAAAATTTTTTTTCAAATATTATAGATTTAAAGTTTATTTATTTTTATTGGGAAGGCAGATTTGCAGAGAACAGGAAAGACAATGAAAAAGATCTGTCACTGGTTCATTCAGTTGGCCGCAACAGCTGGAGCTGAGCAGATCCAAAGCCAGGAGCCTCCGTATCTCCCACAGGGGTGCAGGTCCCAAGGCTTTGGGGCATCCTCTACTGCTTTCCCTGGCCCCAAGCACGGAGCTGGATGGGAAGTCGAGCAACCAGGATGTGAACCAGTGTCTATATGGGATCCTGGCACAGGCAAGGTGAAGACTTAAGCCACTAAGCTACTGCCCATGTTATGGATTTAAATATGCATATGGAGCACATAATCTGGTGAATTAAAATAGAAAACAAACCAACATTTGTCTTAATTCTATTAGAAATGAAATTTAAAATATACTTTCAAACAGTTTTGACCTACAGCTCTTACAAACTGGATATTTATGTTGTAATATAAAATATCAGATACTAATAAAATTACTTTTGTCATTCCTCTTAATGTTAGTACCACCATTTTCACTTTTCAGAGGCCAGCATTTTGGCATAGTGGGTAAAACGTCTGCTTCTAATACCTGCATCCTGCATTGGCACTGGTTTGAGCCCTAGCTGCTCCAGCTCCATTCCAGCTCCTTACTCTAAGGTCTAGAAACAGCAATCAGCAGTGTAAGATTGCCCAACTCCAGGAGTCCCTAGATTCACATGGAGGCATGGAAGAAGCTCCTGGCTCCCAGCTCCTGCTTCCAGCTCCTGTATGGGCTAACCCTGGTCATTCAGGCCACCTAGGGAATAAGCCAAGAGATAGAAAGACCTCTCTCTCTCTGTCTGTCTCTCTCTCTCTCTCATTCTTGCTTCAAATAAATAAATAAATAAACCTTTAAACAAACAAGTAAAATAGCACTTTGGGCAGTTTTTAAATATGTCTTATCCATGGTAATCTGACACTATAGCAAGAAAACTATAAAACATGGTAGAATCTTGCTATGCTCAGTTTATGTGCAGTAAGAAATTGGGTTTTATAAGTGTTTGTTTCATTTCCCTATTGTTTTCTCTTGGATATGATAAAAGATTTTATATTATGAACCATCTTTTACATCCTTGTGAAAGTTACCGTAGTATTGTAGTTGTATTTGTAGAACAAGGTATGTAATCTCTTATTCATTATTTTTTACGATGAATGAAATATTCTTTTAATATTTATTTATTTATTCAAAAAGCAAAGTGACAGAGGGAAATAGAAAGATGGAGCTTGCATTCATTGGTTCACTCCCCAAAATGGCCTCAACAGCCAGGGCTGGATTTAGCCAAAGGCAGGAGCCAAGAATTCCATCCTGGTCTCCCACGTGGGTGACAGGAACCCAGTAGCTTGAGCCATCTTCTGGTACCTTTCCAGGCACATTAACAGGAAGCTGGATCATAATCAGTGTAGCTAGGAATGGAACTGGCATTCCAGTATGGGATGCCAGCTTAATATAACTGGCTCCTGTAATTCATTCTTAAATCATATTTCTAGATATATAAAGTGTTCTCCAAAATGTTCCTGACAAAGTGGAATTTAAAAGCAAATTTTTGTTATAAGAACTTTTTGAAATCCATGAAGTTTATAAATTTCAGCAAGTTCATAAACTACCTTAATATTTATAAAGTTAATATATAAAGTAAAATTCTTGAAGAATCCTCTTATGCATGGATTTTAAATATTTTTTGCACCAAGATAAACTTACCTTTTAATTCCATTTTGCCATGGGGTTTTTGAGGTATCCTCATTTTTAACCTTTTGTTTATATCAGATTTTAACATAAATTAGTCTTTTAGAATATTTTATATTATAAAAGTTAAAATTCTGCCTTATAAATAGGTGATGTTTACAAATAGTTTATAAGTATCAGTGCAGCTATTACTATTTCCTCTTATTTATCTGAAGCAAAATATTGCAAGTAACAGACTTTGTATATAAAAAGTAATTGTTTGTTAAAGAAAACAAAATACAAGATTTAACAAAACACCTAGAATTCACATAATCATTATGACCTTTAAGAAAAAAGAAAAATCATGGCCCTCCCTAGCAGCTTAGCAGGCTAATCTTCCACTTGCTGTGTTGGTTTGTCATGTGGATGCTAGTTCATGACCAGCGGCTGCACTTCTGATCCAGCTCTATTTTTAATGACTTGGGAAAGCAGTGGAGGATGTCTCAAGTCCTTGGGTTCCTGCACCCACATGGGGAGGACTAGAGGAGTCTTCTGGCTCCTGGTTTTGGACTGGCTCAGCTCTGGTCATTGTGGCCATTTGGGGAGTGAACTAGCAGGTGGAAGATATCTCTCTGTTGCTCCTGCTTTCAACTCTGACTACTGTGCTGTACCTAATAGGTTAATTAATAGGTAATTATATGAGTCATTGGGGTTTGTGGTAATTTATTATTACAAATTTTAAAACCAATTTCTGTTCTCCCACATTTTTGGCCCATAGTGTTCTAAAATAGTAGCTTAGAAACTTTATGTGATTTACCTAATCAGTAAAATTAAAATCATTAGAAAATGTATTAATTGTAGGACTCTTCATCCATGCTGAGTAGGCACTTGATACATAGAGGGGCCCACAGAAAAATTTTCATTTTCATTTCTTCTAAACTGAGAAGTAATCTATATATGTGTGTTTATGATTGTAAACCTGTCCAATATTAACATTTGTATCAATATCAGTATAATCATGAACTTACAGAAATAGAATTTTGAATATTTCATATGGAATAAGTGCCCTGCAAAGGCAGAAGTGCCTTGGCTTTCATGAGTCATGATGCAGCCCTGTTTCCTTTTCAAAGGCTTTACTCAAGAGATTATCCTTTATCCATCACTTACCTTTTTTTTTTTTAATTTATTACACTATGACCTTATGAGTATTTGAATTTCTAAATCACTGCTAGGTTTATTGACATACAGAATTGCAAAGGACCTAAGTCATAAGTGTATATCCATGAAGTAGCACTTCTATGAAGAAATAATAGCAGGTTTTTTTGAGTGGCATATGTCACTGAGACCTCAAAATTTTGTGCATTCTGCTCTGAAAATACTGTGCTAGCTCCTAAAGTAACCGAGATTTAAATATCCATGTTTAAATGTCTGTGAAATTAAATGTTTTTCCAGCTTCTCAGTGATAGATATCCCTGCAGTCTGAACCAGTCCTAGAAATAACTCAATTAGAGAACTGTTTCTCCCCGCAGCTCGTTGCATTCTGTTTCTCATCATCTGGCTCATAACTGGAGGAAGGCACCACTTCTGGTTCTTGCCCAATCTGACTGCGGACGTGGGCTTCATTGACTCCTTCAGGCCTCTGTACACACACGAGTATAAAGGACCAAAAGCAGACTTGAAAAGAGACGAGAAATCTGAAAGCAAAAAACAGCAGAAGTCTGACAGTGAGGAAAAGTCAGACAGTGAGAAAAAAGAAGAGGAGGAAGGAAAAGTGGGAGCAGGCCATCGTGGAACAGAAGGCTCAGCTGGAGAGCGGCACTCGGACACAGACAGTGACAGGAGGGACGATGACCGGTCCCAACACAGTAGTGGAAATGGGAATGATTTTGAAATGATCACAAAAGAGGAACTGGAACAGCAGACAGATGGAGATTGTGAAGAAGAGGAGGAAGAAGACAATGATGAAATACCTAAATCTTCACGTGAAAAATCATAATCTGACTAACTAGGGGACCGAAGAAGTGCAAGAAGTTGGATTTTCTATGTTGGCTAATCATTATAATGTACACATGGCATTTGTAGCATTCTTTAAATCCATTTCTAAAATGTATGTGACATTTAAGCAGTTATATTCAGTCCTTCGTTTTATAGAATTTTGGTACAGTTTAAAGCCATTAATAAGTTTATCCATTTGATAATTATACAGTAAGTAGATCTCATTCATTTTGATAGTTATCAGAGATGTACTTTACATAATGACATTTAGATTAAGGGCATTTTTTTTGATAGTTGTATGGCTTTTTACTGTTAGACTAATCAAAATAACATTAAAAAGAATAAAGAAACTCCAGCATTTCAGATTTTGCATAGTTATGCCGCCATGTCACAGTCCTTTGGGGGATGAAACGCTTAAACTCATTGTTCTTGTTAATTTTTTTGTTATAAAATTACACCAGGAAATTTCATCGTATGATTCTGAGTTAGCAGGGTTCAGAAGCATTCTGTGCAAACAAGCCAACTAGTAACAACACAACAGCACTTTTAGTTAGCTACAGATTCTCCTCCAACGTAGGAAATCCAGACTGATTTGTACATCTGATTCAGAGGAAGGTGGTCGTCTCCAACAGAAGTCATAAACAGCCTCGTTGGAAGCTATTGGCTCTTCTTCCTTCCCCATCTCTGTGTCGTAACGTGAAATGTATTCTGTACATAATTTACAAAGAAAACAAGCATTTTATTTTAATTCTTATTATTTAGGCATTTTTCAACACTTCAATTTGTAAAATTAAGTCCATGTAAGAGTATGTTTTTAGAAAAATGGAAGTTTCAGTAACCCACAGAACATTTGTGATCTTTCTACAGCAGCTTCAGTTTTGTGCCAACATTCCATGTATTTGAGTAAAAACTGATCCTTATTAAACAAGAGCAGACGTAAAGTAGCTGTTTGTACGCCTTAATGTTCTTTTGACTTATTTTCAATCTCTACATTCAGAAATGAGGTACTGTATTATCAGACCAGAAGGCACTGCTGTGAAAGATAATTTACTGTTCTAAACTATCAATTTAAAATAAAGAATATAAAGAAAACCTATAAGAGAACCACTGGACTCTAATTGCTTTAATATAATTTTGCAGTTTGATTTTATGTCTCATCTTAGAAGTCTTAGAAAAAATTCTTTTTACTTATAAGCAAAAATTCTTGTTACTTATAATTTCCTTGAAATGAAAGTTTAACTCAAAAATGGGTGATAAATACAAAGTTATTTTTCTTCAGGCATAGTGAGAGCATTTCCTTTGTACTTGGAATGATGAGTCTTTTTTTTTTTAATTTATTATTTTTTTTGAGAGGCAGATTTTTACAGAGAACGTCTTTTATGCAGAGTTTCGCTGCCTAAGTGACCATAACTGCTGGAACTGAGCCGATCCAAAGCCAGGAGCCAAGAGCTTCTTCCCAAATGGGTGCAGAGGCCCAAGAACTTGGGCCATGCTCCACTGCCTTCCCAAGCTCACAAGGAGCAGCCACGGCACACCCATATGGTATGCTGGCACTACAAGGTAGAGGATTAACTTGCTGCACCACTGCGCCAGCCCCTAGATCTTTATTTTCCATGGTACAGTTTTGTAGTTATGGGAATTCTCCCCGCCCCCTCCTCTTCTCCCTTCCCATTCTCTTCCCCCATTACCATATTCCTCCCTATTATAATGGTATAGTCCTTCACACAACAGTCACAAGTCCAACATTCTGCTGTTCAAGTGTGTCATGGCATTGTTGGTATAAGCACTGGTAGAAAATCTAGTATCCTATTGTCAAGGTATATTTAACAGCTTCATTGGGATTGCTCTTATTCAGGAGTCGAAATGCATGCTGCAACATATATTTACTTCCCAATATGCTAGTCTCCATTATACAGTTCATCTATGAGAATACATGTAGATAGTTATTTATTATATCTACAGTTTAGATTTCGGTGGAGGTTGCCTTAAATCACAATATATGGTATTTGTCCTTTGGAGAATGGTCAATTGGGACCACTTTGTAGGATTTCATTGTTTTAATGGCTGTGTAGTATTCCATGGAGTAGATATACCATGATCTCTTTATCCATTCCTTTTGATGGGCATCTGGATTCATTCTATGTCTTTACTATTGTGGATTGTGCTACTATAAATATAGTAATGCAGGTTGCTTTCTCATATGCAGATTGCATTTTTTTTAAATATATTCCCAGGAGTAAGATAACTGGGTCACATAGTAGATCATTTTTCAGTTGTCTGAGCACTCCTCATACTAACTTCCATAGTGGATACAGTAGTCTTGACTCTCACCATCAATGGAGTACAGTTCCTTTTTCTTCACATCCTTGCCAGTAATTGTTGTTAGTAGATTTCTGTATGTAGGGCATTCTCATTGGAGTTAGGCAGAGCCTCAATATGGTTTTTAGATCTTTGTTATTATTTAGGCTTTTTCCCACCTACATGTTTCACCAATGATGTTAAGTTTTCCTAACTTTGAAAAATAATACATTTTCTGAATATTAACACATCTTATTAAACATAACTGATGCTTTATAGTATTCCCTTTAAGTGAACAGAAATATGACTGATCTTAATGCAACTCCATCAAAACTAATCATTTTAAGAGTTCTCAGCAAATATTCGTTGATTTTAGTGCCTGAGTATTTTCTGTCACATTTGTGAAAGTTCTACTTTTTTTGTTTCTACAGGATGTGTGTAATGATAGCTCCTAAGCTTCTTAATCACCAGGAACATTAATATGTATTTTCATGTGTGAAAATGGTACCAGATGTGTATTCAAGAAATAATGACTGTTAACTACCTCAAATGTGATAATAATATTCAGGCACTCAAATTTTGTCCTGTTTCTTCATTACACATATACTGTTTCTAGTCTTAAAGACATTTGAAGTATAGTAGACAAGAAAGTCACTTCTGGTTTATGCATAGGATGTTGGTACAGTTTTTCAAAAATAGTTGATTGGTTGGAGGGAGGAATTATCCTTAGTAAGATTTGAGAGTAAGTGTAAGTAGCTTTTACTGTGTAGTTACATAATTTAAATGAACATGAAAATTCAGACTGCCTTTATTACAATCCTAAGAATAGACAGCTTTGTTAATTCTCGTTAGCTACGTTGGCAGAGCCTAGCAAGTTGTTTACAGCCGTCAATAAAATGGTGATTTTTTTTTAAGAGCTTCATATTTGTGGTGATACTGTGTGTAATAACAAATTGGTCTAAGCAGGAATGAGTTCATCAGCGGCTGAGTTCAGATGGTAAGAATAACATGTGTGGCTGACTGTAGTCATCAAATAGGGTGCTTTCCTTTTCCTTCCTGCTGAATTCTTTCATTTTTACGCTGTGGGGCTGTCTGTGCAATACCAGGTGAAATAATTTAGATTTGGTTGAATGCAATTAAAAAGTAAATGTGTAAAAAGTAATAAATTGTGTATATATATATGTATATGTATATATATCACACAGAAATGCAGCAGCAAAGGCTTTTGATCTTTTCCCTTTCTAGGTTTATATCATTAACAGAGATTAACTCCTGCCTGGAAAAATAATCTTGTGTGCTTATTATGCTGAACTTGGTTTCTTTAGACTTTACCAAGGTCGGGAAAGTAACAAGTACAGTTGATACACATTCATGGCAGTTAGATTATGTTAAATCACTCTGGGCAGCAGACTAGTGAATTGCCACACTATTACTAGAGGAAGGAAATAGAGTGCTAGGTGTTGGCAACTCCCGCGTCACCGTGTACCCCGAGTCGAGCAGAGGAACTAGGGTTACAGAGAACACAACACGCACTGGGTCATTTCGTGCAAAGAGAATGCTGCTGTATTGAACTGCAGTCTGCCTTTTTATGCTCTCTAGTTCCGCCCAGTATTTTTCCAATGCTCAAGCAGCTCCTAAGACCCAGGGGGCATCTTGATAAATGGGAAGCAGGCAGACAGGAACTTGTGGTTAAGCCAGGGGCTAAATGTATCAGGCCAAGACTGTGCATCTTGTTACACCTTGAAAAACAAGCTAAGCTGTGGAGTTAACCCTTGGGAGACCAGGCCCTGCAGCTAGGGTTCTGTGAACCTATGGTTACAGCATGTCCATCAACCAGCCATGCATAAATATAATTTAGGCCTCTGTTTTAGGGCCACCTGACTTAATCTTGTCAAGTTATTAACAGGGACCTTATGACCAGTGGCATCATTGTTTATGCCTGAATGAAGCTTATTTAGAATGTTTTATCTGCCAGGAATTCACAGCCTTTCTGCACTGAAGAACACTAGGTAGCACCTCAGCATTACATTTGGGAGCCTTTTTATCTTAAATGTGTGAATGTTTAATATATATTAGAAACAGTTACAGAAAAAGGAATTGAGTGAGATTGGCCTTCTTCTGGTTCACTCCCCAAATGGCTGACACCTGGTGCTGAGCTAAGCTAATCCCAGGAGCCTGGAGCTTCATCTAGGTCTTCCACATGGCTTCAGGGGCCAAAGCATTTGGGCCATCTTCCGCTACTTTCCCCAGGAACATATTCAGAGAGCAGGATTGGGAGTAGGGCAGCCAGGACATAACCCAGCGCCTATATAGGATGCAGGCATCATAGGTAGTGGCTTTGCCTGATACACCACAATACCAGCACCATTGAAGGCCTTTTAAAACAGTGACATCAAGGGTGCTTGTTTGTGCAGCAGGTATGTTGCTGCTTAGGAAGCCCACGTTGGAGGGCCCGGCCGAGTCCTGGCTACCCTGCTTTCCTGCTGCTCTGCACTCTAAAAGGCAACCAATGGTGGCCCAAATACTTGTGTCACTACCACCACAGAAAAGATCCAGCTGGAGTCCTATGCTCCTGGCACTTTGGTCTGGCCCAGCTCTGGTAGGCATTTGAGGATTGAACAAACAGAAGGAAGGTGGACATCTATCTCCGTCTTTCAAATGAAATAACTAATTTTTTAAAAAAATTATTTTCTTATTTGAAGACTAGGTTTCTGAGAGAAAGAGGTCTTCCTTTCCGCAGGGGGCTACAACAGCTAGCTCTCTGCCAGACTGAAGCCAGGAGCCTAGAACTTCATCTTGGTCTCCCACGTGGGTGTCAGGGCTCTAACGCTTTGAGCCATCTGTTGCTTTTTCCAGGCCATTGGCAGGGAACCGGACCAGAAGTGGAGCAGCTAGGAAAGGAACTGGCATCTGTATGGAAGCTATATCCCAGTTGGTTCCTTCACAGGCTAGGCCACAATGCCAGCCCCCAAAATAAGTATTTTTAAAAGAATAAACAGTGGGGCTGGTACAGTGGCACAACAGACTAATCCTCCATGTTTAGTACCAGCATTCCATATGCGTACCACTGCCAGTCCCAGCTTCTCTGTTTCCAGTCCAACTCCCTGCCTCTGGCCTGGGAAAGCAGTAGAGGATGGCCCAAGGCCTTAAGACTGCCTGCATGGGAGACCTGAAAGAGGCCCCTGGCTCCTGGCTTGGGACTACCCCAGTCCTGACTATATTGGCCATTTGGAGAATGAACCAGTGATAACTGGAAAATCAATCTCTCTCTCTTTCTCTCTCCTCTCTAACTCTGCCTTTCAAATTTAAATAAATAAATCTTTATTTTGAAAAGCAAACAGAAATACAAAAATGCAAAAACCATGGAATTAAATAAAGCAAAAAAAAAAAAAAACACGTATGAGAGTTTGAACAAGAAGGCAATGTCAGGCTTAATTGTATGTCGGTATTTTTTGCTGCTTTGCCAGTAACTACAAAAATTTTAGAACAAATCATACATTAAAAAAATGGAATCCATAAACCATGAAGGTCAACCGTACTTTACCATATCATGAAGCTGTAGCATTTACCTACCTTATCTATAGAACAAAATTTATTTCTAAATCATGCTGTATTATTTGAGCAATATTTTAAAAATCTACTCTGTGTAAAAGCAAATATTTCCTAATTGTTGTATGATAGATAAGTTGCTTTTACCCTGAATCAGCAGTCCTTCATGACCCTGTTCATTCATTCAGTAATACTGAGCACTTTTTATGTACCACAGTTTTATCAGGCACAGCCATGGGTAAAACA